ATAATAATATTATATTCACATTATTATTAGTAGTATATATGTACATTTTTTTTTTTTTTCAAGTCAACCGTCTCCCACCGAGGCAGGGTGACCCAAAAAAGAAAGAAAATCCCCAAAAAGAAAATACTTTCATCATCATTCAACACTTTCACCACACTCACACATTATCACTGTTTTTGCAGAGGTGCTCGGGAATACAACAGTTTAGATAGCATATACGTATAAAGATACACAACATATCCCTCCAAACTGCCAATATCCCAAACCCCTTCTTTAAAGTGCAGGCATTGTACTTCCTATTTCCAGGACTCAAGTCCGACTATTTGAAAATAACCGGTTTCCCTGAATCCCTTCACTAAATATTACCCTGCTCACACTCTAACAGATCGTCAGGTCCCAAGTATCATTCGTCTCCATTCACTCCTATCTAACACGCTCATGCACGCTTGCTGGAAGTCCAAGCCCCTCGCCCACAAAACCTCCTTTACCCCCTCTTTCCAACCCTTTCGAGGATGACCCCTACCCCTCCTTCCTTCCCCTATAGATTTATATGCTTTCCATGTCATTCTACTTTGACCCATTCTCTCTAAATGACCAAACCACCTCAACAACCCCTCTTCTGCCCTCTTGACTAATGCTTTTATTAACTCCACACCTTCTCCTAATTTCCACACTCCGAATTTTCTGCATAATATTTACACCACACATTGCCCTTAGACAGGACACCTCCACTGCCTACAACCGTCTCCTCGCTGCTGCATTTACCACCCAAGCTTCACATCCATATAAGAGTGTTGGTACTACTGTACTTTCATACATTCCCTTCTTTCCCGCCCATTTAGATAACGTTTTTTGACTCCACATATACCTCAACGCTCCACTCACCTTTTTTCCCTCATCAATTCTATGATTAACCTCATCCTTCATAAATCCATCCGCCGACACGTCAACTCCCAAGTATCTGAAAACATTCACTTCTTCCATACTCCCCTCCCCCCCCAATTTGTTTCCAATTTTTTCTTTATCTAAATCATTTGATACCCTCATCACCTTTACTCTTTTTATGTTCGCTTTCAACTTTCTACCTTTACACACATTCTCAAACTCATCCACTAACCTTTGCAATTTTTCTTTAGAATCTCCCATAAGCACAGTATCGTCAGCAAAAAGTAACTGTGTCAATTTCCCATTTTGAATTTGATTCCCCATAATTTAATCCCACCCCTCTCCCGAAAAACCCTAGCATTTACTTCTTTTACAACCCCATCTATAAATATATTAAACAACCATGGTGACCTTACACATCCCTATCTAAGACCTTCTTTTACCGGGAAGTATTTCTCTCTCTTCTACACACCCTAACCTGAGCCCCAGTATCCTCATAAAAGCTCTTTACAGCATTTAGTAACTTACCACCTATTCCATATACTTGCAACATCTGCCCCCCAAATTTTTCCTCTATCCACTCTATCATATGCCTTTTCTAAATCCATAAAAGCAATAAAAACTTCCCTACCTTTATCTAAATACTGTTCACATATATGCTTCAATGTAAACATTGATCTACACATCCCCTACCACTCTGAAGCCTCCCCGCCCATCTGCAATCCTACATTCTGTCTTACCTCTAATTCTTTCAATTATAACCCTACTGTATACTTTTCCTGGTATACTCAGTAAACTTATTCCCCTATAATTTTTACAATCTCTTTTGTCCCCTTTCCCTTTATAAAAAGGACTATACATGCTCTCTGCCCAAACCTAGGTACCTTCCCTTCTTTCATACATTTATTAAAAAAAAGTACCAACCACCCAACCTATATCCCCCCCTGCTTTTTAACATTTCTGTCATGATCCCATCAGTTCCAGCTGCTTTACCCCCTTTCATTCTAGTAATGCCCCACGTACCTCCACCACACTTACATTTTGCTTTCTTCACTCCTAAAAGATGGTATACCTCCCTGGCCAGTGCATGAAATTACCCCCTCCCTTTTTTACTCAACATTTAAAAGTTCCTAAAAAATTCTCGCCATCTACTAATACCTCCCTCCCCCATCTACTAACTCCCCTACTCTGTTTTTTACTGACAAATCCATAAATTTCCCTAGGCTTTCTTAACTTGTTTAACTCCCTCCAAAATTTTTTCTTATTTTCATTAAAAATTTTTTGACAGTGCCACTCCCACTCTTCATCTGCCTCCTTTTGCACTCTCTCACCACTCTCTTCCTTTCTTTTACTCTCCATATACTCTGCTCTTCTTATAACTTCTGCTTTGTAAAAAACCCCCTTTTTAAACTCCTTTTTCTCTTTTATACACCCTTTTCTTTCATTCCCCCAATCACTTTCTTTCCTCCTCCCCCATCCTCCTATAACCAAAACTTCGCCCCCCCCTTTAATATGCATTTTTAAAACATTCCAACCCTCTTTAACCCCCCCCCCCCCCATAACTTTTTGCACTAGCCCACCTTTTGCCAATAGTCGTTGTATCTCGCCCGAACCTTCCCCCTTTTATTTATACCTTTCACCCCCTCTTTCTTGTTGTTTCCCCTTCCTCTTTTCATCTACCTCTTACCTAATGTAGACAACTAAAAAATGACCGATATATCATTGCCCCCCTATAACATCAATCCCGGGCCTACCCCCAACCCTTTTTTCCCCAATACATAATCTAAAAAACTACTTTCATTAGGGCTACATCAGCCTTTTTTATTTATTTATCCCTTTTTCATAAAATGGTTTTCTTATTACCAAATTTTTTTTCTCACATACAAATTAAAGGGTCCCATTTACATTTTTCCCCTGGCACCCCAAATTTACCTTCTACTCCCCCCATAACATTTTTACCCACTTTTGCAATTTTAAATCCCCAACCCCCCATTCTCTACACTTTATTCAAAATCCCCCCGCATTCATCAACATTTCCCGAATCTCTCTCTTCCCCTTTCACTTCCTCTTCTCCGGGGCATACACCCTTACATAAACCCCTTTTCATATCCAAAAATTTTTTTTTACTCCACATAACCTTTAATTTTTTCATTGTGTCCCTCCTTTTTCCTGCCATAGCTTATCTTCAACATTATTGCTACTCCTTCTTTAGCTCTAACTCTATTTGAAACCCCTGACCTAATCCCATTTATTCTTCCATTGAAACTCTCCCACCCCCTTCAGCTTTGTTTCACTTAAAGCCAGGACATCAGCTTCTTCTCAATTCATAACATCCGCAATCATCTCTTTCTTATCATTTGCACAACATCCACGCACATTCAGACTTCCCACTTTGACAATTTTCTTCTTCTTTTCTTTTCAGTAATCTTTACAGGAAAAGGGGGTTACTAGCCCATTGTTCCAGCATTTTAGTTGACTTTTACAACACACATGGCTTACGGAGGAAAGATTCTTATTCCACTTCCCTCATGGATGTAAAAGGAAAAGAAATTTAAGACCAAGAATGTTAAGATAAAATCAAAGAAAACTCAGATGAGTGTGTATAAATAAATGTGTACATGTATGTGTAGTGTGACCTAAGTGTAAGTAGAAGTAACAAGACATGCCTGTAATCTTGCATATTTATGAGACAGACAAAAGACACCAGCAATCCTACCATCATGTAAAACAATTACAGGCTTTCGTTTTACACTCACTTGGCAGGACGGTAGTACCTCCCTGGGTGGTTGCTGTCTACCAACCTACTACCATATGTACATATTATAATATAATAATAATAATAATTATTGTTATAATTATTATTAATTTAGGGAACTGGAGTACAGATCCAATTCCCTGGATCAAAGGCCCTTCACCAAGGAACCTCCCTGGAGTTGGGAAAGTACCTGTCCTGAATATTTGTTCATATCTAGAAGCAAAAAAATTGACTGAATAACGGTTTGTATCCTGAAAAGTTTGCTTGGTGGAGCGTTCTTAAACTGAGCTTCCACTATACAGTGCACACTGAGTGTTAAGACCCATTCTATGCTGACCAGGCATCTCAAGCCAATCGTGCCAAATTTGGAGGCAGGAAAAACAAAATGTTGATCTACATTTGGAGCACTAGCAGTAACAACGTAGATCTATGTTTGGACAGTTAAGGGGTTAAAGGAGGGGTTTGGGATATTGGCAGTTTGGAGTGACATCTAACTGTCATGTCTGGGCACCTCTGCAAAGACCGTGATTGTGTTGAATGATGGTGATAGCGTTTCTTCAATTTTTGGATCACCCTGCAAACATTTACAATCAGTGGCATGTTCGTGAAAAAAAAAATATTTTAAGGTATAATGTATGGCATTCTCAACCCAGTATAGGAATGGGATGCAGATCATATTGAATATCCAGTCCTCCCCTTAAGGATGAGGGTAAAACTGCTTATACTGAGAAACATTATGTAGAAAGATTTGGTACAACATCAATAAGACATACAATTAGAAAAGTACAATACTTTATAGGAAATGATGCAGGAAAAGATGAAAATGAAATACAAAACTTCTTTAATTGATAGGTCAATACTGTATAAATGTTGAAAAAATAAAACAGACTAAATAGTGTTGCTATTAATGTAAAAAGTAAGGAACTACTGTAAACCCTCTTATAATGCACTAGTTAGGTTCTTAAAAATAAGTGCTTTATGTAAAATAGGGTTTAAGTGAAGTGAAGAACACTTTGGAAAAGTAGGATACATTACTAATTGCCAAGGAGGGTATCACTTGAAGATTGTGATGCACTTATAGTGCACTCATTAGTGTCTCAGCCAACTTCAGCCACAGGGAAGGTTTTATAATCTAGCTAAACCTCTTGCCAGAAAACTCCTGGGACATTTGGTTATTGATGTGGCCTGTCACTTGTTTTTTTACCCTACAACTGCTCGCCACTTTATAAGCTCTCAGTATTATACCAAGTTTACCTGTTTGTGATTTGATGAAGCTCAATGTGTGAGCAAAATGTCATCAGTAAAGGTTTCATATTTCTTAATTTGTCTTTTTACCATCATTCCTATTTTGTATTTATAATGAGAAAAATCTTTCTGTTTCAGATATGAGACCAAGAAATTGTGTACGCTGTGCAGTTCCTTGATCACCAGTGAAGTATACTTGCTGAGTCATCTTCGTGGCCGCCGTCACCAGGAGGCACTGAAGGCACTTCACCAGGCTGATGTTGTGTCCACTGAAGATAGTGAAACATACAATCTGAAGCACATTGTTGATGCTCCTGCTAATATTGATGATCCTCAGGTATGTTGCCATCATCATCATCATCATGAACTGCACAATATTCCATAAATACAAAGAATTAGTCTTTGTACAGTAAGCTTGAATTAACATCAAGAAAACTTTATCTGTATACGGCCTTTCCTCACTTAGTGACGTACTTGTTTACTGATGACTCGGACTTAGGACGGGCTCTCTGACCAGTATGCATACCTAAATAACGTATATTAGAGCTGATTTCCTCTGTTCTGTTTATTACTATGTACAGTACACTACTGTATAAACATTTATAAACATACTAATACAGTGGACCCCCGGATTAAGTGATTAATCCGTTCCAGAGAAAGTGACTAAACCCGAATCTGACTAATTCTGAATTAATTTTCCCCATAAGAAATAATGGAAATCCAATTAATCCATTCATGTAAAACAAATATTTTTTTTACATGAAATATACATTTCTCTACTCAGAAAACAATGAGACATACAGAATAAAACATTACTAAAATGACACTTACCTTTTTTGAAGACTTATTGATGAATGAAGAGATGGGAGGAGGGGAGGGGATGGAGGTGTACTATTGTTTGGAAGGGGAATCCCCCCTCCATAAGAACTTCAGGTACCAAGTCCTTTTCTGGGGTTACTTTCCTTCTTTGTTTTTTAATGCCACTAGGCATTGAGAGTCTTTGGACCTCTGTCATTCAAAAAAGTGTTCCAGAGAGGTCTGTTTCTGGCCTTTCTTTAAAACTTCCCTGAAATGGGACACAACATTGTCATTGTACATGTTGCCAACATGGTCTGCAACAGCTTTGTCAGGGTGATGTTCATCCATAAATGTTTGCACCTTTGTCCACATTGTACAAATGTCTTTAATCTTTGAAGAAGACACCTTCCTCTATCTCTCTTCCTCCTCCTTTAAAGCAGTTTCTTGAGCTGTGGTCTGTTGGTGTTGCAGATGAAGGTCTTGCAGCTCTGTAGTGGTTAGCTCTTCATCGTGGTCCTCCACCAACTCTTCCACATCCTCCAAACTCACATCCAACCCCATGGAATTCCCCAATGCCACAGTAGATTCCACAACTGGCATAGGCTCCTTGGGCTCAGTCCCAAACCCTTCAAAATCCCTCTCTTGTACACATTCTGGCCACAATTTTCTCCAAGCAGAGATCAAAGTCCTGCAAACCACTTTTTCCCAAGCCTTACCTATAAGGTTTATGCAACTGAGGATACTGAAGTGATCTTTCCAGAACTTTGTTAGGGTCACTTCAGTGTCTGAGGCACTTGAAAACACTTTTGAAACACTGCTTTGATGTACAGTTTTTTGAAATTTGAAATGACCTGCTGGTCCATGGGCAGGAGGAGAGGAATGGTATTAGGGGGCAAGAACTTCACTTTGATGAAACCAAACTCTGGCACCATTTGCTCTTCCAAGTCTGGAGAATGAGCAGGAGTATTGTCCATTACCAGGAGGCACTTGAGTTCCAGTTTATTTTCCAGAAGGTATTTTTTCACACTGGGGCCAAACATGTCATGGAATCAATCAAGTAAAGTGTCCCTTGTGACCCATACCTTACTGTTTGCCTTCCACATCACATACAGTTTACTCTTGACAACACTGTTTTTCTTGAACACACTGGGATTTTCAGAGTGATACACCAGTAAAGGCTTCACTTTGAAATCCCCACTAGCATTACTACAAAAGATGAGAGTTAGCCTGTCTTTCATAGGCTTGTGTCCTGGGAGTGCCTTTTTCTCTTGAGTAATGTAGGTCCTGTTTGGCATTTTCTTCCAAAAGAGGCCTGTTTCGTCACAATTGAACACTTGTTGGGGTTTGAATTTTTCAGCCTCTATGTACCCCTTTGAAGTCCTGAACATATTTTTCAGCCGCTTTTTTGTCAGAACTGACAGCCTCACCATGCCTTACCACACTGTGTATGCCACTACGATTCTTAAATCTATCAAACCAGCCTTTGCTGGCCTTAAATTCACCAATATCAGCACTAGTTCCAGGCATTTTCTTTACCAGATCATCATGTAACTGCCTTGCCTTTTCACATATTATTGACTGCATAACACTATCTCCTGATAATTGTTTCTCGTTGATCCACACCAACAACAAAGCCTACACATCTTCCAGTATTTGCGATCTCTGTTTTGTAAGCATATTTGCACCTTTCGCAACAACATTTTCCTTGATTTCCTTTTTCTTGGCCAGGATAGAAGTGATGGTTGTATGGGGTTTGTTATACAAACTGGCCAGCTCGGCGACACGCACTCCACTTTCATATTTTGCAATGATCTCTTTCTTGAATTCTATAGTGTTTCTCACCCTCTTTACCAAAGGACTGGCACTAGAAGCTTTCATTGGGCCCATGGTGGCTTAGTTAGCAGTTCTTTCAACAAACCGGCCGTATTCCACCGAGTCATTTAGCAGTTACAAGCACTAAAAAGAATGGAATAATACAAAATGTGTTGTATGAACGCATGGGATCATCTTCACTGGCTGGTAAACAGTGGCACACTGGCTGTACATGGAGTGTTTGGGCCACTCAGGCCTTGTGGACACGTTCTGGACGAATGACTTATTCCGAGTTCAGTGACTATAACCAAGCCAATATTTTGATGAAAGAACGTTACTTATTCTGAATATTACTTATTCCGATGACGACTTAATCTGGGGGTCCACTGTAATATTATAAATGGTGCAAAGGTGACATTAAAACAGTATCAAAGATGGTTGACACAAACCCACTGCTATTATAGTATGCTCCTAGCTAAGCGACGAATTCGTTTACCAACGTGGTCTTAGGAATGGAATTACGTCATTAAGTGAGGAGAGGCTGTACTTGATTTAATTTCCAATATCATATTTTTCTTGCTAAAAGGCATTTGATTCAGTTTTTCAGTTAAATATCTTGTTTTCCTTTTGTTATTTTTTTTTTTTTTTATATAACTCCTGTTTGCAGTTTTCTGAATATAAATTAAAATACTCCCATTGTCTGATGGGGGTATTTTAATTTATACTTAAAATGGCTAATAGTGAAACAGTTATTAATAATCTCTTTTATGAAACCAAGATACATTACATGCATAATTTTTGTTTGTGCAGTATTCTTTTATCTTATGATTTTAACAATTTTAATAAATACAGTAGAGGTATTAATTTTCTTGTACTTATTGAGAAACAACATAGCTAATTTAGGCCAAAATCCCAGCAGTAATGTTAAGTAAGCATTTCACAAGCAGAACATCATAAAAGGGTAAAGGCATTATCAGGTCCCATAATACAGCTGGGTCCAGCTGAACTGTAATGTGAATGATCTGTAATTTATCACTGCAAAACATAGGTTAAATTACAAAAATATTGATGATAGAGAAAATATTAAAATATTAAAAATTTCTGCAAATCTGGTAAGTTAATAGATAATTCTGAGATGTGATACTTTGTATTACAGGTGACAAGAGATAGAGAAAGACATAAAGCTCTAAGGAGAAGATGCAGAAAGATTAGAACACGAATGATTACACGTGGAAAAGAATACAACAGTGCCTTTAAGCCAGCGCCTCGTAGAGACTCTCCCAATAAAGTGCGCATCATCAAGGCTTTGCAACAGATATCAAAACTTGTTACTAATCAGGGATCTGGCCCCTGGCCTAGTGCTGACCTAGCAGCTTTAGATAGGCCTTTACTGGAGTTGGCAAGGATCATGGAGAAAAGAGAGACTGCAGATCAGATGATGTTTAGTGCTCAAGATGGCTTCTCAAAAATTGATTCTGTTTTGAAGGCTATTTTAGATTCGACTGAACAAAGACCTTGTGTGTTACCAGCAAAATCTTTGGGATACAGTGGTCGTGTACTCCTTGGAGTGTGCAGAAAAAACATGGATAACTGCAGACATACTCTGTACTCCAATTTGGTTGGCAATTTGATTGACTATCTGATGCAGCGTCTCAGTGAACTCGTTATTGAAACAACAAGGGTAGGAAGTAACAGCAGTATAAACACAATTGCTAATCTTCCACCTGATGCAGCTTCGGCAGCTATATTTGAGGTACAGTATTTGTATGTCAATAACATTTTGCCTGCTCTTTTATAAAGAAATACAGTACTGGTGCTTGTACTTTAAATCAGAATTGCCTAATTTTTTATTATGAGGGAGATTGCATATAGTACAATTGTAGGTAGAAGAGTACATTAAGGAATTAGGTTTAAGTGAATTATATGAGATCAAAATGGGAGAAAAAAATTATACAGTAGACCCTTATATTACACGGTAGTTACGTTTCCGAAAATGCCATGTTTGATAATTCCGTGTTGAATAAACTGAAAAACGTACAGGAAAAATAGGGTTAGGCTCCTGGGAGCCCCAAAAAAGCTGAACTTTTTTAGGCCTCCAGATCTTACAAAAATAAAAGTGAATATGTAATCATTTTTCATTGTTGTGATGTACAGTGTTTTTTTTTCTACTCAAGACTACAATTGCAATAGAAATAATAGTATTTCTTACATTAAATTGTGGGTGCTGGTGTTTGTTGATGATTGTGAAGAGAGTGGAGAGTTATGCTGTGGCCCTACTGGGCTGAGGTTGATGGTAGAAGTTCTAGTACTGAAGTCAATGGTTGTACTGGAGTGTGCATAAATTCTGTAATGGATTTCTGGGCTATTTTACCCTGCAGTACATTATACAGCTGACAGTAAGGTGTCAGCTGCTCTACACACTGTTTCAGAGCAGTGCTTCTAAATTTGTCAGGGTCCTTTTCAGTGAAAAAGTCTAACTTTAAGTCAGTAAAGTCAAGTCAGTCAGTCAGTCAATCATATTATTGGCTTCTTGCTTGTGAATCTACAAGCGGGAATGAATGATACTCTTCAGAGGTAGCATTACTTTATTTGAGGTCTTCTACACAGGCAGTGTGTTATGCTTGCCCTGGCCCGGAGGGCCATGTCTGCGAAAGAGTGATTGGAGTAGAGTTGTTGTCTGAGTCACGTTGGCTGCCAAAGTGAGCGTGGTGTGAGCTGAGCTTGGTAGGCCTATAGGTGGCAGCACCAGCATGGCATAGATATGAACCCAAGTGGGTATACAGTCAGTAAATCAGTCAAGTCAGTCAGTAAATCAGTCCAGTCAGTCAAACGAGCCAGTCAGTCAAGTTATTCAGTAAGTCAAGTCAAGTCAGTCAGTCAGTCAAATCAAATAAGTCAGTAAGTCAGTCAGGTAAATCTGTCAAAGTCTGTTAGTTAGTCACTCAGATAAGTTATTCAAATAAGTCAGTCAGTCAAGTAAGTCAGTCAGTTATTCATCACACAAACTCATATATTTACCTCATTCTTTTTAATTGTACAAACTGAATGCTTCATTAAGGCCATAGGCTCTCTCTTGTCTAATGTCTCTATTCTCTTCATAACTCTTAAGACTTATATGCTTATGCCTTTTCTTGCCACTTTCAGCAACACTCTTATGCCTACTGGGTGCCATTATTGCTTGGCAGATATAAGATATGCCAATAAAAAGATCAAAACACAATTCACAAATACAGCAAGCTCCTAGGAGAGAATGGTACTGGACACATATTCACGAAGGCTGGGATGGGGGTGGTGGGAGTGTCGGGGAGGCAGGGGATGGTGGTAGGTCTTTTCCTGCTGACACAATGGTCTGACCCACAACAAGGCAGCAGCCTGAGCTGGGAAACTTTTTCCCCTGCTCACAAAAGGAACCATGTTAAGTTAATTTTATGATGTATAAAATTGTGCCGCAATTTTTCAATAGTGCAATAACCAAGATATACCAAAGAATACTGTGTAATATAAGGGCCTACTGTACATGAATTTTTAGGTAGTTTGACTCTGTTAAGATGTTGGATGTCTGCAGATTATTAAGAGAGAATAAGTGTTGTATCTGGATGCCTCTGCAAAGACAGTGATAGTGTGAATAATGATGAAAGTTTTGAATGATGGTGAAAGTGTTTCTTTCTCTTTTGGGTCACCCTGCCTCGGTGGGAGATGGCTGACGTGTTGGAAAAAAAAAAAGTGAATGAGGGAGAGGAGGAGGCCAAAACTAAGGCAGGAAAAGGTAATTGAGTATATGAGTGCAAAAATCATCATGATGTATAATGATAATTTCTGGAGTGTACTGTGATATTGCTGATAATTGTTATAAAAGGGTGTATTAGAACTTCAATTTATATACAAGCAGTAATGTATTTCTAATAAGTTGAACACTGTATCCAGAGTTGACTTTGAATAACAGAAAAAAACTTGAAATTCTCTGCTTATCAATTAGTTTTGTGTTGATATAATAACTTCCTTCTGCATGGGGAAGTGGAACAGAATTCTTCCTCCATAAGCCATGCATGCCATAAGAGGCGACTAAAATGCCGGGAGTAAGGGGCTAGTAATCCTCCTGTATACATTACTAAATTTAAAAAGAGAAACATTCATTTTTCCTTTTGGACTACCTTGCCTTGGTGGGATATGGCTGGTTTGTTGAAAGAAGATAATGACTCTATCATGAAGCAACTGTCATCAGCAGATGGTGTGAATACACCTGTTACTAGTGTGATAGAACATGTTATTGAATATTTTCATTTCATACATCTACCTTATATTTTATCCAAAGACAAGTAAAGAGAACGTTTAAAATAATTGAGAGCATTTTCCCCGATCAATCATAATATAAAAATCCATTTTCTTTTTTTACCAGTTTGCATTAAATGTATAGAAATCCGCTAAACTTACCGCTTTTAACAAAACTTCCCTCTCTGACTTTTTAACAGAGAATAACTTACTGCACTACCTTTGACTATAATTTATCTTTAGCACTTTCCACTACCCCACACTAGTCTCTGATCTTCACATTTTCCTTCTTTAACACACTATACCTTGCAGCACTGTATGACCCTCTTGGGTTTAGGGTTTAGTTGGATTATATTATTATTACTATCCACCAAATGAGCACATACCACAAATAAATATGGAGAAAAGTGAAAATTTGAGAAAAATAATACAGTAAATGTAAATTTTAAGAGAGTGTTTGGGTGTAGCAGGCACAGGCAGTGCCTTGCCCACATTATCTTTCACCTTCATTTGATTAAACACATGATCATATTTGATTACACCATATGCAGTCTTTCCTCACTTAATGATGTACATGTTTAACGACTGCTCGAACTTGCGACCAGCTTTCTGACCAGTATGTATACCTAAGTAATGTATATTAAAGCTGATTTCCTTTATTCTGTTTCTTACAATATACAGCGCACTACTGTATAAACATTTAACCCTTTGACTGTCGAAACCCCAAATCCTGAAGTGTCTCCTGGTGTTGAAAAATATTCGAAAAAAAAAAAAATTCTTATGAAAATGTTAAGATTATTTTTCCGATTGTTTTAACCCCCCACCCCCGAAAAAAAAAAATTGTAATTGGTACTTACCAGGATATAGAGGCATAAAGTTGGCAGAAAATGAGCCACGTATGGCAACAGTGGCGACTGCCGCTCACCCAATAAACTTTGGTTTACTTGTATTCAAAGGTTTCTTGTTTTTTTTCACTATTTTATTTTTTCACATAACTTATGTAGCCTATGAGACCAAAGTATGGTACAATGTTCATATATACATTCGTTGAATGTAACACAATTATAGCAAAAACACTAGTATCATCATATTGTTTACAAAACTTGTTTACACAAACTATAAAAAATTGTTTATTACGATTGTTCTATAATATATATACGTACATATGTACAATCACTGGACACTTTCCTAGAACTGCTGCAGCTTGTGGAACTTTTTGAAACATGGGTGTATACACAATGGTATTTTACACTCCTCGCACATAAAACGAGCGTCTCTGCATTTTTGTGGGCGTTTTGTGGTATGTGTGCACAGACATAACACCTCTTCTGAGCATTTTTCTTGAAAGCAGTAGCAGGCAGTGGTATGGGGTAGTGATCACCAGGCCTCAGGCGAGATGGCATGTGTTGATAATTTCGTGGGCGCTGGTCTATTTCAAGTGTTGTTCCTTGGTACTTGAACATTATTTGTCTGATAACTGACAAACAAAATTCACCATATTTGGGTTTGTTGTTGGTCTTCAACTTATACATATTATAAGCATTCAGCATGGAAATATCAAGAAGATTCATTTATTTTTATTTATTTATTTATTAATTTGAACATGATACAGTGAAGTACAAAAGAATACAGTTAAATGCAGCATGCCAAAGCCACTTGAATGCATAGCATTATGGGCAGGCTTAAAATTAACTTAAGATTAACTAAGCAGTGAAGTATTCAGTGGTAAAACATTATTGTAAACAGATAACAAGCACAAATGAGTATTACACAAACCGTCGTATATTTGCATGCATTGCTCCCACAAACCCAAGTATTTATTTATTTATTTATTTATTTAATTTGCACATGATACAGAGAAGTACAAGGATACAATTTTTTAAAGTGCAGCATGCCAAAGCCCCTTTAGTTGCAAGCATTATGGGCAGCCTAAAATTACTTAAGATTAACTAACAATGATAATTCAATGGTACAAAAATTATTGTAAAACAATAACAAATTTAGTACAAATGAGTATTACCAAAGACAGGTCATATGGTCATTTCACTGATTTCTGTAATCAGTAGAATGGAGTATTCTGTTAGGTAATGAATTTAAATAAGTCACAAGTTTGATTTGGTCACAGGTTACATTTGATACAATACTTTGATACATATATGAGATACAATTTATGAGATACAATTATTCAGTATTTATTTAGTTGTAGGTGAGTAAGTGATTTTTGAGAAGAGACTTGAATTTATAAACAGACAGTGTTTCTTTTGTATTCACAGGTAATGAATTCCAGATTTTAGGGCCTTTTATGTGCATTGAGTTTTTGCATAGCGTGCGATGGACACGAGGAACATCAAAGAGTGATCTGTGTCTTGTGTTATGGTCATGTGTTCTGTTGAGGTTGGTAAGGAGATGTTTGAGGGGAGGGTTTATGTCAGAGTTAAGTGTTCTATGTATGTAGTAGGTGCAGTAATAAGTATGGATGTTTTG